AGTAATTTTGGTAAAATTACTCATGAGAAGTACCACTACTGCTCCATGTTTTCTATATTTGTAGATTGTGACGCCTACTGTGTTTCTCTGCAGTCCCAAAGCCTTCAAATGGTCTTGTACCTCTGTGCAGTCTCTTTTATTTCTTTAGATCATGTGCTGCTTTTTGAGATCTTTTAGTCTACTTCTTTTTCAATTCTAATTATTTGTCTTCAGTCTATTGGTGAACCAACTTGTTTGATGATGTAAGATGAGCAAATGCTTCACAGAAATGAATTTCCGAACAGAAATTACGTGCTGCTGAATCTTTTTCTTGTGTTGTGTTTCTGAAAACAGTGACCCAAGGAATGAGTCGTCCATCCGCAGCCAGCACTTGAGACGGACGTTCGGACAACAAACACCATCATCTCCCTACAGCATTACCACTGCAAACGTTGAACAGAAGACTTGTATAGATAGTAGATTCACATTTCCATTTCTCATATTTATCTTAAACCAGTACCTCTTAATGTTATGCTGAGTGATGAGACCAAGTCATCTGCTCTACAGTTACAGTTTGCTCACACATCTCCAGTCCAAATGATTTATCCCTCATCTCCATAACAAAGTCTTCCTCACCTTGTCTGAATCACCTCCTGAGAGGATTATGAGGCCAGCTTTAGCTCTCCTACAGTCACATTGTCTCTTGTACGTGTTTAGCGGGATGTGTGTGCCCATTGTTGTGGGCTCCCTGCCACCTGCACTGCCGTGGTATGTTCCCTGCCCTGTGAGGTGTGTGTGTCAGATCAAGCCATGGTTCTCCCCGGATTCTGTCTATCACGAAGCACCCACAGTGGACTGTAACAATCTGTTGCTGACGAAGCTCCCCTTGCCCATACCACTAAACACGCACACTCTTCGCCTGCAGAGTAACTTGCTGTCAGTGCTGGACACTGCAGTGCTACATGGGCTCCCCAACCTCACCGACTTGGACCTTTCACAGAACCGCTTCAGTCGTGTCAGGATGATAACTCAGAGTTCCTCCCTGCCTTCTCTGCTGTCCATACACCTTGAGGAAAACCATCTCAGTCACCTTCCAGAAGCCTCTTTCTCATCATTGCCAGCTTTACAAGAACTCTTTCTCAGCCACAACAACCTTCATTCAATTGCACCCGGAGCCTTCAATGGCCTTGACTCCCTTCGCCGTCTTCACATTAATAACAACAGACTTACAACAATTGACCCTCGGTGGTTCAGAGCACTGCCTCAGCTGGAAGTTCTCATGCTTGGGGGCAACCCTGTGGAGGCTCTGCCTGAGAGGGGATTTGTGGCCCTAACATCCCTACAAAGCCTTGTACTTGGTGGTATGGGTCTGAGAAGTTTGGCTGAAAAAGCACTTGAAGGGCTTGAAGAACTCGAAAGTCTTTCCTTCTACGACAACCATCTTACCAAGGTTCCTCGACAAGCCCTGAAAAGAGTGCCAGGACTCAAGTTCCTTGATCTCAACAAGAACCGCATCAAACTGATTGAGACAGGAGACTTTAAGGACATGTTGAACCTAAAAGAGCTCGGCCTGAACAACATGGAGGAGCTTGTGTCTATAGATAAAGCCTCTCTGGACAACCTGCCAGAGCTCACCAAGCTTGAGATCACCAACAACCCACGTTTATCCTTTGTTCATCCTCAGGCTTTTGTCAGGCTGAGCAGATTGGAGAGTCTGATGCTAAACTCAAATTCTCTCAGTGCTCTGCACCAGAACATCATGTTCTCCCTGCCAAGTCTGCAGGAGGTCAGCCTTCACTCCAACCCACTGCGATGTGACTGCCTGTTCCACTGGGCCGCCAGGGACACCTCCCATCCCCGCATCAAAAGGGACACACAAATGAAGGCCCAAGTGTCCCGGGTGGTGCGCTTTATCCAACCTGAGGCGACCTTATGCTCTGCACCTCCTGAATTGAGAGCACGTAGAGTAAGAGAGGTCTCCTCAGGAGAGATGTCTGCATCCTGCCTCCCAACTATTTCCGCCAGTTCCCTCCCATCCTATGTCGGAGTTCAAGAAGGGGGTAAACTGGTCTTGCACTGCCGAGCCCTTGCAGAGCCATATCCTGAACTGTACTGGGTGACTCCCTCTGGCCTGAGACTTGGGCCTTCAGCAAACAGTACATCAAAAGGTTTTCCAGCTTCTGCCCTATGTAGAAACACAACTTCAGATGGCTTTAACAGCACATCAGCCCTCAGTTTGCAGCACCCACAAGCTCACAATGATACTGTTTGCCAGTTCTTCAAACACTACCAGCTACAGCCTGAGGGAACTCTAGAGATCAGCAAGATCTCCCCCAGAGAGGCAGGACTCTATACCTGTGTGGCAGAGAATGCATTAGGAGCAGATACACGCAGTGTTACAGTAGGAGTGCACAACAGGGGGAAAAATAGAAAGAGGGGGCTGATGAGTAAACCGAAGAAATTTCAAGCCATGAGAGTAGAAGCCAGGTTGGAGTTGAACGAGGTTGGAGAACACTATGCTATTTTGTCCTGGCAGAGCAGACAAAACCTGCCCTCCACTCGGTTATCCTGGCAGGCCATGCAGTCCAGCTCCCACACACCGACGTACACCACACGTATACTTGCTGGCACACAGAGCTTCAACCTAACTCACCTGCAGGCAGAGACATTTTACAGAGTGTGTCTACATCTAGGAATCAGTGAGGACGGCAAGAGAGACAACCTTGGGTGGGAGGAGAGCAAAAAACCTCGTTGTGTGTCGTTCAGGACCAAGGATGTGCCAGAGCCTCAGCCTGGTCTGCAGCTCAACCCAGAGTTGACCTCCATAGCGGTCACACTACTGCTTCTGGCTTATATCCTGCTGCTAGCAGTGCAGGGCTGGGATGCTGAACCTGGTGAGGAAGCAAGGAAGCATCACAATGCCCTCTGTGTGGATATCAAGGCTCCCAAGACTGTTATTATCACTCAGAAGACAAAAGAGAGCAATGAAGATCCAACAGATCTGAAAGAGAAGCTGGCATCGTTTTATATCATTTGAGATAATTACATCCATTCCAATGCAGACAAGATAAACTGGCCCATATCCATAACATGGGACATGAAATATACACTAGCACTCACACAAATGAAGGATTTAGAGATTATGGTGCAACGAGAGATTTGTATTTATTTTATATAAGCATAAAGTATATATTGACTTTGTTTCTGTGTTGAGATGTGTTGTAAAGATTGCTTATCTCCCCTTGCTGGGGAAATAAAACTGGACAATCATACTCCTGCTTAACACAGGGGAAACAACAGAGCCTGAGCTGCCTATGATCACTGGACTGAAACTAAAGAGAGCTTCATACATTTCAGGAATGGATATTTACAGAAGAGAGCAGCTCTGACCTCCGGGGTTTTGTCCTGTTTATAGTCAACATGTTTCCACAGACTCGAGCATACTCTCTCCAAGCTGATAAAATTCTGCATTACGACGGGGCTGAAAGAACTTTCTGCTGGTTTGGACAGTTTAAGTCAAAGTGATTGATGTACACGGCGCTTTAGCTTTGCTCTTGGACTGACACGTTCATCCTGCAGTACCTATATGGTGAGCTCATCCCTGATAAAACATCCCTCTCTGTTTTAAAATAAAAGTGATTTAAAAGTGACTAGTTTGAGCTTTAAATTACATTTTCTTTGCATCTACTTACATTTGGTGTTTTTCTTTTAATCAAAAACTGACATATGGAAAAATCCTCATTTGACCAGACATGAGATTTACAAAAAGTCATTTGAAAATAGAGTTGCATCATTTTTAAATGATGCATCTTAGGTTCTCCCCCAGACCAATATAAATACTAATGGTGTTAACCATCTCATGCCTTCTTAGTCACACAAGACGCAGAATGTCCCCTGCTGGAGGAGGAATGTAACTGAGAGGCCAGACTAAAGGGTCAATAGATGCAATTGTCCCAAACTCAAGTAGCGGCTGAATTTTCTTTCTATCAGAACTGGATTTCAGGACCTCAATTTGGCTTTATGCAAAGGTAAGAAACAGAAAATGTTAAAATGTCCTGGGCTCCATCTGTTACCCCAGCACCGCTGGAGATGAGCACCAGCGTTTCCTGGACGTGCGAGGATTAGCAGGTAAAGACAATGGATGGGTGGAATATACATCTATCCACTGAACTCCAGTTTCTGATTGTCTGATAGCATCAGATCTCTGCAGAACTGTAAGAGAAGCTTATTTCAAATGGACAGGAACAAATATGAAATGCAGGGTCTTGCCTTTGAATTTTTTTTAATTAAAATTGGAGAGTAACATCAGCAGCGATTCTGTCACATCAGCTGCACCATGAACATTATTTTCAGCCAGCCGACTAGTAAAGTCCCCTATTTTAGGTAAACATTTTGCACATATACTGCAGTTTTTCACATTTTGATATATTACAATCACAACCTCCAACGTGTTTTATTGTGATTTATAGACTAGTTCAAAGAACTTTATAAATACAGCAGAAAATATAGGCTTTTAAATTTCATACAAATGTAACTTTGAAACGTTGTTGTTTTGTGTGAGTCAATAGTTTGTAGAAGAGAGACAACCTTTGCTTCAATTACTGCTGCATCTTTCGAGTACATTTGTCACGTTTTACCAATTCTTTCCAAAAATGCTAATTAAGAGCCACTTTGGTTGGAGAATGTCTAAAAACATACATTTCCAAGTCTTTCCTCCGGTTCTCAATTGGTTATAGGTCTTGATTTGACTAGGTCATTCCAACACGTGAATATGATTTGACCTAAAGTAACACTTCCTTTGTGTTTCACACAGGCTGTGTACAAATGTTATCTGACAAATCTCTGAGGTTTTCACAGAACAACTGAAATTAGAATAAAAATATCCTCCACTTTATGTTGTTCTTTCACAAAACATTTTTGGACAATGCACTGGAGTTTGTGGTTGTAAGACGAAAATGTGCGAAAGTTTAAGACATTAACACAATGTAATGTAATTCTGTGTCAAGAATCGACAACTTGAGCATCAGTCAGGACTTCTTTATTCACACAAAACATAATACAACTCTTCAATAAGGCAAGACATTACTGTATATACATAAAATGATCTATATGTATATATCCATATTCAAATATTTATATAACTGTCATTCTTTAGTAGCACTACATAGTGTAAATACATTTTTTAAGTAAGTCATGTAAAAACAGTTAATGGGTCTAAAAATGTCTATTTTTTGTTCATTCAAGGCAAGAGTTATTGTAGAAGATAATGGTTATTTTTGCAACAGAAGTTGATGCCTGAACATCGTCAACTGGTTCAGTCACTGGTTGGATTATGGGCCGACTTGGAGGCTCAGAGAGTTTAGAGAACAATGCTTTAGGTAGAATTAATGAAAGGAAGAGCAAGTCAGCTCGTTTCCCACTGCTTCAGAAAATTAGAAAAACATTTGGTAAACACAGGCCTGGAGCACACTGCATCTTTTACACAGCACATGTTCAGATGATGAAGCTGTACAGCTTTTAAGAAACTCTCGGTGCCACAAACCTTTTCTAAAACCCTTGAATTTCCAAAATCTGATTAAAAACAAACTTGGAAAAAAAGAAAATTGCATACAAATTCTGCTATTCCCACATCCATCAACAGTTACATATATTATTAACACAAGCTGACATCATAGGTCCTGGTGATGGTGCCCTTAAAAAAAACAATATCATGGATTTGTTTCAGTGTATACTGAGCATGTTGAATGCAAAAACACACAGGGTCCCTTTACATTATAGAAGTCTAATTTCACAGATTTAAATGATCTTAAACATGATTAATGTTTACATTCTGAGTTTGGGGTTGCAAACCGAACATTGCCATGTTCTTTGATACAGCAAGGAGTTTATTTATTAAATCAGTTTGAACTCAGAGGAAAAATTGAAAAAACAAACAGTTCAGCGCTGTGCATGTGCAACTTACAGTAAATTGCTTGTTGCTATAAATCAGATTTTCAAACTAAAGTAGGCTCACAAAACCTTTAAACTAAAATATGACAATGTTCATCTTTTATGTGTAAAAATAGAATAATTCTGCTTCGTTCTGCAATTTATCTTTAGAAATGTATTCTTCATTTTAACATTGCTAAGGGGAAATGAAGCCTGAAAAAACAACTAATATTTAAACACTGGAAAGAAGACTGAGAGTTATAGCTACCATCCAATGACAAGAAGGTAAAGTCATTTACAAAAATAATATTCTATAGAGCTTTAACAAATAGTAGCAGTGCTGAGTATCGGCTTACAAGCTAAAGGTCCATAAGCAGGAACTACGGGGAAATTGAAAATGACAACACTGCTAAATATAAAGAGCACAATCCTGTGTTCATGTGATGCATGAGCAGAACTAGATTTCTTCACTACATGGAAAGTTTGTGTTTTATTGGATTGGAAAATCCAGCAAAGTTTCAATTGTAGATTGCAGAGAAGCTCCTTAAATCCTCTGGTCTGTGCAGTGAGAGCAGATGTGTAAAACTGCTAAATAGGTAAAACAAATACAGTATAAGCGGCTTCCTTTGTTTAAGCAATGTAAGGAAAGTTTTTATGATGCAAACTGAAACTCCATGCTTTAAGTTGCGAAAACACAACAACACATAGCATTTATATTATAACCATCTTTACGTACTATATATCCAGCATGATGTAGTTGTAGTCATCTGATATCAAATATTGAAGTAATTTACCCATAAAATGTTTTTCTTTTTTTTCTTATACACAACAGAGAACTGACAAAATATATTCATACTTTTTAACACTGTTGAACTGGAAGTATATTATAAACTCATGCTGTGTAATTTATGTATTACTCTGTCTACCTCTAGAGAAATTAGGGGTTTTTTTTTTGGCTGCTGCCAATTTTCTGTTTTTTAATGTCTTCCAAATGTTCATTTTGATTTAGTAAGATTTTCTTATTCCAAGGACTATGAGATCTTATAGATTTAACAAATGTGCTGTTCTTTGACGGAGGCCGTACTTTGAAATCCTACAGAAAACATTATGTAATTTATGGATCAAAACATACTGTATGTCAATAAAGACATTTCATAAGTAGGGAAAAACATTTTTTTTTGTCTTTAGAAAACTGCCAGATCCTAATCGTTGGTAGATTTATTGGTGCCTCTTTACTTCCTACACAGAAATGTTCTCTGCTAAAATATCTTTATGTTTGTTACAAATGCATCAAGCAGGTTTGCAATATGCTCAGTAAAATGTTATATTGGTAATAAATACAGTGACCAAGTTCATAAAAATCAGTTTACCAGGGGTACTAAAACCTTTTAGAGTGACTGCATCACAACTGGTGTTTGTACCACAGTTTGGGAACCGATATGAACACAAAGATCCCAACACAAAGAATAAAAACTGAATACTAACTGAGCCCCTTTTGTGAGTTGATCCTGTAGAGCAGCCAAAAAAATGTGAGGAAGAAGTTAATTCAGGCAGGATTAGCGATCAGCGACACCAGGTGTGTAAACTCAGATTTGAGCTGTTTTACCACCAGGCCTCCTCCAGTAACAATTACCAAATTTAGCCTGGTGTTGATTGTTTGTGTGATCCAATTTGGGCTTCGAATCAGCAGATTCAGGAAATGCTCAGAAAAACAACAGACGTTGTGAAGACACAAATACAGTCCTGATATTTATAGTTGACAAAAATGAATCCCTGTCAGAAGAGTTCCCCAGCATGTGAACATTTCATTTCATAGCAGAACCGGGCTGCTGCAGAGAAAGCTGTCCGTCTTAATTACGGCCCAATGTTTATAACTTGATATTGAGTTATGGAGAAAAGTTGTAGAGCTGATTGTATTTTACTGTACAAGTGGAGGAACGAGCAGCATCACAACAAATTTTAAACATTTAAATTGAAAGTGTAGTCCCTACATTACCAGTTGCCACGCATAGCTTGACTTAGCAAGAACGGCCTCATTTTATTGAGAAACTAAAAGCTCTGGTCTAATTTCTACCTGTGAATTAGAGGAGATGAAGATGCTGTCAGGGTTCTCAGATGTTAAGTAAACTTTAACCTCTGACCACACCATAAAGCTATCATTACATTTTTTTTTTTTAGGTCTGACAACCGTACTGCATCTTAAACGTGTTTAAAGTTCTAAAAAAAAACTGTTATAAATATAAGCAGCTAAATTCATCAACAGATGAGTAAACGTATCTTTTGTCAATACATGCATGCATGGCATTCGAGCACACACAGAAGCATACGCACAACTCAGCTGTAGTTGTAAGTGAAGTTATAAGAGCTAGGCTCCTTTGGCACTGGAGGCGGGGCTTCAGGGATCGTGATGTTCTCAAGGTCGAGGAGGCGGAGCTTCATCTCCATGCTTATGAGGGTATCTAGGTCGCTGCGTGTCAGGTCACTGCCCATCTCTCTGCCCAGCAGCGCACACAGCCCGTCGGTCCAGATGCAATACTGACCATGTGGGCACAAAAACACAAACACAAGCCAACACACACACGCAGAGGAGTTCAGGTGAGTGAGGATCCTTCACAGTCAAATTTACTGACCCAAGTAGCTCTGCGAATGGGAATCATTCTAAGATTATACGCACGGTTATGGGAGCGAATTAGAACAAAACATTTAGATTTTTATCAAAAATTTTTCAAATATTGATGCCTGATATCTTTTTCTCTGGAACAGAAAGATTTAGCTGAATTCACACATCAAAAATTCACCTTGTTTTCCAAAAGATCGCATTGAAAGATGTGTTTTCTCGTGAGGGGAAAAGTTATTTAGTCTCACACTTTTGGTTGAAATAACGTCAAAGACACTTGCAGTCATGGACCAAACTCTACCCTCTGAGGTGTGAAATGTTTGCAGGATTTGCTGCAACTTGTGAGGGAAAGACAGGCAGATCCTGCTGCACCCCCACAGTATGATGCTTCCACCTCTGTGTTTCATGGTTGGCATAAGCTTCCTTTCCAGGAATGCTGCATTTCGTCGTTCCCTTCCAGATCTCCCACGAAATGTAAACTTGTGCAATCCTTTTTGATTGATCAGACATCTGCTTTAATGTCAGCTGGTGTAAGTCCAATGGCTTCCTTTTAGGGTTTTTATGACTTCTTTTTGCATCTTGCAGTCAATTTCATGTCAGGAGATGCTTTGAATGTCCTCTTCTTTTTTGTCTACTGGAATCATTTGTGTGCATTTGTGAATGAGTAAATGGTTTCTTTCGTACGCCGTTTGCTTTGTGTGCCTATTTATGGAATTTGTAGGTCTCTCTTCTTCAGCAGAGCCTCTGGCCACTGGCTTGAGCCCACAGCCCCGAGTACACCTGAGTCAACAAAGTTAACGGTGCAGAAAGTCTTGATTTTTACTTTAATTCCTGTTTGTACACCTTAGTGAAAGTAAATCCAGCTCCCAGAGGTTGTGACACATTTCACACTAATGTCACAGCTCAAGTATTGCTGTTCGTTTTACAAACATTAGATAAATATGGGCAGAGTTTCCTCCAAATACGAGCATGAAACACCGTTTAAATTTTAGCAAAGTGTGCAAAAAAGGCTCTGTCAATCACAGGGTCCTTACACCGCTTTCATGGGAAAAATGCTAAATTTTCTAGGTTCAACTCTCTAAAAGTCTCAGTTCTGTTGCAAAATGTAACATCAAGGAAGGAATAAAAGGAGAAAAGGAAAGAGCAAAGGAAGGAATGAAGGAACAAAGGGAGGAAAATGCGATAAGAAATAAAGTTTGAGAATAGAAAAGTGATTTGATATTCCCATTGCCTGTTTTGATAGTTATTCAGACATGAAAAATGCTGGAAACAAATTTCAGATGTTTCCATACCTTCTCAGGTTGTGTATGAACCCTGGAATCAAGATGGACATTCAGACTCTGGCTTATGTGAACTTTGCAGATGCAAAACCTTCAGTGAACCAGCCTGACTGTCTTCAGGTTAACAAGAAATCAGTCAGTATCAAAACATTACTGCAGCCAGCCAAGGCCAGCAGACGAAATCAAAACATGAATAGAATACAGAGTTCAATTATTTCATCTCATTCACAATTCAGACACTGCAGCAAAAAGCCTGTGAACATAGCCTGCAGATATCTTACCTCATATTTGTTCGGTGCAACAAAATTAAGCGTTTCGTCCGGATCGTAGAGGACGGAGAAGGCCAGCTCCAGCACCTCCTGACAGAACGAAACAAATTCAGCAACAACACATCAAGGTCATGAGTCAGCAAAATGTGTTAGAAATGAATATAAATGAACATTTTAGCACCTTGTTTTGTTTCAGAGCACTTTTCTCCTTCATATGAGGGCAATCCTTTCCTGTTAACACAGACTTGATATCTGAGACATGGACTGAAGAGAAAAAAACATTTATAATTATTAGAGAAATGTGTCCTGTGACCAGACGTAGAAGAATTGCTTTGAGTTTTCTTAAAAAATACAAAAAGTAGAAGAAAGAAACAAAAATGTGTCTTACTCTTGTCACTCAGTAGCTCAAAAGGCACTTCACCCTGAGGTGACTCCTCCAAATCCCCGTAGTGCAGAACTTTGTGGTTAAGAGATAATCGGCAGAACCAGAACTTTTCTATAAAAAAACAATACAATTGTCAATAAAAGCAATACTCTGTGCAGATAGACAAATGTCTGCAGCGTTCCTCTCGGTACCTTGCCTTCGACGGTTTCCCAGTTTACGGAAGCAGCTTCCCTCGCACAACCGGTTGAGCCGCTGCTGCTTGATGAGCTCCAAGATCTCGGGTTGAATCCTCTCCCGCAGCTCTCTGCAGCACAACACAGCGTGAGGAACTGGAAAACTGCGAACACAAATGAATAATGTAGGAAAGGTTGAGACTGACATGATGGGCGGAGACTGGAAGTCGTCCTGGCTCATCCTTTCTGACTGCCGCAGACGCAGTATCTCAGTGTAGCTCAGGCCTCGCAGCTTGTTCTTCAGCTGGTCTATGGAAGACGGCTTCATAGCCAGAGCCCTGGTAATCTGTTCCCGCACCACCTGCATCACCTGGGCAGCATTCACACACACACACACACACACATTCATAAATAATGAGGGCTGATGGAACAAAAATGTAAGGCTCAAAAGCTCGGTTAATGCAGATGCATGTGAACTCTTTACATTAGTTGTTCTATGTGATCCTTTAGGTGTAATTATTTCAAATATCCCTTTTTATTCTATTGAATTTAACAGCGTCACGTGTTGCATGAATAATACCAGTGTTCACCTTCACAAGGCGCTCATTCGGTTACTATGATAAGCTCATCTAACATTACTGGGCTCGGCCAAAAGCAGAAAATTGATACTAGAATGAAAAATGCAATTTAATAGGAGGTGTCCAATTATCAAGTCATTTTCTCACTGTAATCATGTAAATATGTAGTAATCCAGCTGCGAACTCAATGGTCTGTGTTAATATGTATCTAAACAGATGGAATACAATCCTGTATGTTTGCTATATTTAGTCACGTTTAAGAAAGAATAAAAGCTGATTTGGGTGCAGCAATATTGCCTTTTCAGTAAAAGTCTCTGGGCAAACTTGGTGTTCCCTTTTGTTAAAACTTGGTGACATGAATACTTCGTGTTTACTTTGCATTTTCCTAAATAATGTTGGAAATAATTTTTATCTTGATTTCTAATTATAAGTCTTAATCTGCATCTACAGATTAAATTTGTATAATTTTTTAATTGTTGTTGGGGGCCGTACAAAATCAGTCTAAGGGTCACACTTTGGACATCCGTGGTCTAGGGACCAAGATAACTATGAAACAAAGATAATTTTGTGTTATGGTTACCATATGGTGAACCATTTCTGTTGAAAGATGTTTTAGGTCATTCATCTTTTAAAACAAGCATCTCAGAGTGCGTTAAGTGATCCAGATTTTCCAATGATTAAATCTTCATAAATAAATAAAAATATTAATCAGTGGTTGATTTATGACCCAGCCCTAATACATTGAAATGTATAAATTATTGATCATTTTATTTTCTTGTTAGATTCTTTGCTTTACTATTAAAGAAAATTGCAGTTTTCTTCTGAAACAAAAGCTACTGTCTTTAAAGTGAGATTCTGCGACTAAAATACAGGACTTATTATTCACTGGCCCAAACATTAATCCCCCAGTCTGCCCATTAGTGCAGACCAGCGATGGACGCCTAAATGACTCTCTTTGGAGTGAAAATGTGACTTTAGAGTGGGCATGAGTGGCGGCATTGTGCGTGGACAAATTGTGTTATGAGGCAGATTTTGGAGTGTTTAGTGGTCATAAAAACTGAGAGTGAAGGTCACTGGACATAGAAGATGCCTCATAGACAAATTATACAGCTTTATCAGCACTTGATGGAGCTTGATAGGGGTCACATTGTGGGTCTGTATGAGATGAAGCACTAGCATCATATAATTGCTCTGCATGAGCAGTGTGCAGATGTCACTGTAGGTCGGTGTTGGAACCAATTACGTGAGGGCTACCATGCGGGTCATGAAGGTCAACTCGTCCAGGAAAGTCCATTTTCGTCATGTTGTGCACCAGTGATTAAAGGAAACTGGCGACTAAATCTGCTGTTGGAGGACATGTTCTTGACTCTTAACAACATTCATTTTTTCGTCAGTGAATATGTTTGTTTTTTTTCTTTTTGGATGACTCATTATTCTTTAGATTAATATCCACATTGATTCTGTTTTTTTAAGCATGTACCAAAAACAATTTGGTTTCAGGCCAGATAATTGGAGGGAGGCAGTTTAAAGTACATGGCAACCAAAGGTGCTAATTAGCTCACCTCTAAAATTAGCAGACACATAAAATAAACAGGAACAAATCAAATCTGCTCTATTTGTGAAGGTTTCCATGAGCACTGCGGGTAAATAAGCTGTTACCACATGGTTCAAGATTTGTTTTGGAAAGCTTAGGCATTAAAAATTGAAAGCTTTTAATTAACGAGTGCATCTGAACATAAATACGAGCGTTCTGTAATCTCAGACCTTGTTGAAGTCCTCCGCCGTGGCTCTCATCTCCTTCCATGTTTTATTAAGCAGCTGGATGCAGACGCAGAAGAACTCCTCCCACGCGCGGTCATGAGTGAAGAACATGGGGTGATAATCATTGCAGCCCTCGTTTGCTAAACAGAACACAATTTCAAATGTGTAAACATGGGTTTGGCCAGATGCTGCACCTGAAATTAGATGCTCGGGATGCACAGACACACTGGTCAACCTGATCATCAGCATGTAAAGTGTAGCCAATTTGTTGCATTGATCTTGCTCTGAAACTGCCAGGATTATTGGCCCTGCTGTTGCTGCGTTAGGAAGAGTTTATTCGCAGAGACACAGGAAAAAAATCTCCAGAATCCAGAATCAGCCAATTTATTCTTTGGCGATCCTAATCAGTGATTTGAAAATAAGGATCCAATCTCTGTTTTTGTTCACTGAACACACCAAAGCTCTAAAAGGGTCATGCTTTTAGGCCACTGCTGGGTTGACAGGTTGTTACTGAGGGATACTGACACAGTCATAGGAAGCTTAAAATGTGCAAGAAAGTTCAAGGATGGCACCGTATTTTCAACAGAGGCATGTCAAGAGATGCTTGTGCTTTCTTCAAGCTGCCAGACAGCAGAAGAAAACAAGAATACAGTTGTTTTCTTCCGAGCTTTTCCCTTCAGTCTGTCATGAAATATGCTGGGTTTGCAAGTTCTGGCAGCCTCTTGGAAATTAAAAAAAAAAAAAACGAAAGGGTTGACATTTCTTAGAAAAATATACTTAGAATGGTGTTTAGTGCTAGCCAGTTTAATGATTTTATTGGAAGTACAGTACATAGTGTTCTGTTCATAATTTTACTTGATTCCTGTAAAGTGTCTTTAAGTGTTTAGAAAAGCGCTGTATGTCATTATTACTATTATTTATTGTTATCAAAGACGATTTCAAATGTCACGTCTGCAGGCGTGTTGTCCTTGTTTTAAAGGTGTTGGAGGACAATGTGCAACACTGTCTGTCCCCTCTGTTCCTGATATGAATTAATTATTTACAAATTATGACAGAAAAGATGCTAAGAACATTAAAGTTGCACTAAATTACATGAATGATTTAACAATCCGATATGTTAGTAACACAGAAAAGTACACCAAAGCTTTTCTTTTCTCAAAATCTTAAGTGGAACAAAATTATAATTTATTCTAAATAGAAAAATACTGAATGTCTTCTTATGTTGCTAAAGAAAAAAAGGGTTATTGAGTTACAGTTTTTGTGGTAGAAGAGTGAATGAGATTTGCTGTGCGTTTGTTCGGAGGCGTTTTATTCCCACATACTTTTGTACCGCAAAGTCTGAAGGACTTCAATGTGTCTGCAAAGTTTCTGGTGCAGAAAGTGAAATCCCTGTAACTCTAGGTTCCCAACATTATTTAATTTTACTATTAGGATCAAAGATTAATTTTGTGCAGAAAGCATATAAATAATTATTATGATACTCTTCATGGTTTCTGAGGATGGCCAATTAAAATGAATATTGACAAGCTTTACAAAATTTGGGAAATCACACACACAACCTCTAATTATTTCTTTCTCTCTTAGCACACATTTTACACCCAGAGGCAGATGTACAAAGCCACTTACGCAGTTCTCCGACCTGGAGAATCTCACACAGCATTCGAGTGAGTTCGATCGCACAGCGGCCAAAGGGACACTCATGCTTGTCCTCCCGACTGCTGTTCTCCAACACAATCTATCGTAAACAGAAAGACAAGTTAAGGCATGGCCAGGCTTTTCAGCTCCTTTAGTAGGTCAAAATCATGTGTGATGCCAGAACTGACTCTGATGTAAGTATCCTGATGAACCCTGGCCAGATAAAGCATATTATCCAGAGCCAGCATCCCAGGAGGAGTCTGGGTAAAGTCCATGGCTGGGTTCAAATGGTTCTGTGTTTCAGACAGAGATAATGAGGCACAAGAAAGAGAAAGCAACACTTTGGTTTTTCTGTTTGAATCTGATTGTGTATCTAGTGAAATCTGCAGAGCGAGCTCACAGTGAACCCGAGCATCTTGTAGTCCTTGGTGTACATTGCTTTCCTCTTCTCTGTACCGGTGGGATCAGCGTCTCCATCAAAGGCAATTCTACGCAGCTCAAAAATGATGTCCCTCTGAGCCTGAGACGGGAAAAAAAACAACCATGTTAACAGCTTATCAGCATAAAGAGGGAAACATTTACCATGATAGCACCAAAATTACAAAAGAAGCCGGAAAGTAGATGGGTCAATCTGCGATGAGCAGATGGCTTGCAGCGAGTACTGGCAAAAACGGCAAAGGCTTAATTTTCCGGTCTGCTGATTGCACTTAAAGCAAATTTATCAGCGAGTGTGCTACCCACGTAATAGGATGTCTCTATTAAACCTTCGCAGCATGCACCCACTCCCATTTAATTAACCACGGCTTTCATTTTAACATGCAACGGCAGATTGTCTACAATACATACTCGCTTATTTTACATTCATGAGCATTTAGTGGTGCCTAAATGCATTTCAGGAAGAATACAGAACATGTGTTGGTAAATATAAATAGGAAATATTTTGCTGGAAAATCTCACCTGGTCATTGGGATCCATTTTGGTCATCATCCTTTCTTCCAAAAGGTTAAAGGTCAACACCTGTAGCACATACAGCTGATGTGCCATCTCTGCTTTGATTGGTCGATTTCCCCTGATGACATGCTAAAAGAAAGAGCCACAGCAATTAGAGCATTCATGTTTCCCGCTTTAAACTGCAGACAAAATTCAACAACGCAAAATATTGGACTCTAATTAATTTTAAAAAATTAATAGCGGGACCTTTTTAATTTACATCCACAAAGATCACTGTGTTTTATTTGTATTTAATGTGACTGACATCAAACATAAAGAGATAAATAAATTTAAAATTAGAGTACATTAGAAAACTGTAATTATTTAAGACCAGCTCAGTAGGTTTTAAAAGTATATAGCTGTTGTACTTATGTATCAGTTGAGGTTACTGAACACAAAACGAAAACAAGAAAACTAAATTTTAAATGCCTTTTGGATGTTTATTGTTACTTTGAAACCTAGCCTTATGTCATTGAATTCTTAAAATAGATAGAGATTTCCTTTCATATGTAATCATTAAAACGCTGGTCAATTGATCTAATTGAAATCTAAGAAAGTCTCAGTTAAAGTTCAAACCTATTTCCAATTAACAATCAATGAAATACACTAAAGTTAATCACTAAGATGTGTGTATGTGTATATATATATATATATATATATATATATATATATATATACATATATATATATATATATATATATATATATATATATATATATATATATATATATATATAGTGAACCCCCACTATTCTTGAGAAGTGCAAATTGACTCAAAGGATTGGAGGGAAATGCCATACATTGTATTGTTTCAGGTAACTATGGCTCATTTAAAAGTGTTCAGAATCACAAGGATTTATTCCAAGAAAAGTTTGAGTTTCTCCAGGAAACTGGAGCGCAGCACTCTTGTCGATGACATTTACAGCCAGTTCAGGCAGGTCTTTCCTGACAAGTGCCAAGAGAAATCATTTTCAGAGCAAATTATTTTCCACTTCATGGACTCGATGCCATATCACATTTACTGGTTTGGGGTCTCGCCTTTCTGAGTGAGTGAAGCGTTCGATTTTCCAGAAACAAACTTTCAGTCACAGGAAAGATTTTGAGGAAGCTGGATGCTCAGAACTAGGTTGTATTTAATAAGACCAGAACACTGATCGCCTCACATCTATCATGTATTTATTCCAACACAGAGTTTAATACTCACATTTAGGATTATGGACCGCAGGTGTTTCTGAGCCAAAGTGCTTGCCATTTCCTGGGGATACACACAAGTCAACAAGAAAATCAAATAATTGACAAGTTGCAGAGAAGAAACTTCACAGAAGTACACCAACACAAAATTAGAAATTCTAAATCTACATTTCTATCAGCGGTTTGAATGGCATGGATTTGCAAAACAACATTTAATGTGGCCTAAGATGTTTCTGCCGGGAGAGTTTGCCTGCTGCAGCAATATTTTAACATGATCACATTGTGTTATGGCTGATTGTGACACAAAAAGATCAGCAAAGTGAGGGAGGAGAAGAGCTATGGGGCGGCATGAGCAGCTGAGAGGACGGGTACTCACAGTGAGGTGCTGCTCCAGTGGGTTAGTATACTCCTCCTATGAGTGGGTGCAGGGAGGAGGGGCATGGGTACCACAGTAATGGAAACAAAAAGTGCAAACACACGGACCGTGAGACTCAGGCATTACAAGCATGCAGTGGAATAAGAAGATGACTCACATCACATGAGGAAACAGACTGCGGATGGCAGCTGGTGTACCCTGCACATTCTGCGTTTATCTAGATAATTCTCCCTCCTGTCATAAAAATCAATAAACATGACTCTCTGTTCTTTTTATTGCATAAAAACACACAAATGGAAGGGAGGTACACTTAAAATATGAAGAAATAAAAACGGAATCTCTGTTTTAAAGAATAGCTAGAACAAGATTCGGGGGGGGGGGGTTGTTTGGTTGGAAATACAACAAGCTGAGCAGTGAGAGTCAGATCGCATTTGTACTCTAGTCCCTCTCCTCTTGTTCAGGCACCAAATCTGACTCAGTTCGCCCTCCAGTGGTCAGTAACAGCCCATGAAAAACACACATCCTTTCTAATATAACGTTAAATCCACTTCCATATCAAACATCCATCCATCCACTGCCTGTATCTCGTCAACCAGAGATAGAGCCTATCTCCGTTGGTTCAACCTGGACATGTGGCCAGTCCATCACAGGGAAACGCAGAAACACACAACCATGCACACCCTCACCTAAAGCAGATTTAGAGATACCAATTAATCTCTCTAAATCTCTGTCCAAAAGGAAGCTGGAGTACCCAGAGAGAAGCTACACATGCACGGAGAGAACATGCAAACACCATGCAGACAGGCCTCAAGTTCAGATTTCTGTTCCTCCGCCCAGCCCTCCATAACTAAAACGACTAACATGTTACCTTAGAACCTGGTTGAATAAATATCTTCTCTTTCTGGATTTTCTTTTGTCCTGACTCACATAATCCAGGAGCTACTGCCAAATTAAAATCCTTTCTTATTTAAAATATAATTTGAAATAATTTTCCTGTTTTTGATGTTACTCTGAGTGATTTCTGCCTAAAGCCTCCTCCTTGCTGCTGCTGCTGCTGCTGCTCATGGTCTGTTGCCATGAGTGTTCAAGAATGAATGTGAATTGAGTTGTGACAGGTAATGGAGAAAAAGACAAGCTTCTAATTTATTTTGTTCAATTCTATTCTAAAATTACTGAGTTGAATCACATGTTTTTGTGGTGAGTCTGTGTGCATCGTAGCCTGAGTTTCCTGTTCTTAGTTGACGCAAGAGGCAGACAGTCTGGTCTTCTGCTGTTGTTAGCTCCGAGGTTCACGCAGCTGTGGGATGGTATTCTACATTTCTGCCCATTATATTCTGACATCTGGCATCAACATTTCTACATGCTCATTTCTATTTCTTTTTTATGACCATTCTGAGCCACCCTGAGAGATGGTTGTGCATGAAAATCCCAGCATGAAAACATAGCACGTCATATACAAAGAAGTGCTATGTTGTATGTTTGTAAACAATTGTGTACCTAATAAAGTAGACGGGGAGATTACACCATTTAGAAAATAAACCATTCTTTTAACTACATCTGAATTTATGAAGTACTTAAAGAACCGAGTTTATTATTTCGTATTTACTGGCAATTTAATTATGTCTTCCCCATTATTTTACATTATCAGTTATAAACAAAGATATAAACAAACTAGAAGAACATAAAACAAGGATACAAAGTAAGCTGTAGTGCAGCACAGAATTAACTGTTAAATGTTATTACAGCACAAAAAGAATCATGCAGAGAAATTAGATTTTATGACAGAGTCTTTTTATTGGCCGATTTGTCTTTGCTGATAACACAAGTTTATTTTTTTCTGCACCTTCGCTGAAATATGTTACTCAACAAAATGTTATTTTAGCTATCTCAGAAAAATTTTAGTTTTTCATTATTTTATTGAATCTAAATTATAGATGCACCAATCAATCATCCAGATGTTGGAATTGGCCGATTTTCCCTTGATTAATTTGACTTTTTTTCTTATCCATGAAATGTATTACAAGTGAGAACTCCTGGCATTTTATGTTTTAAAAAACACACTTACCAACAGCAGGGCTTTTATTTAGGATCGAATAAATTAGAATATGGAATCCGATGAGACTTGAAAATAATCTTTAAGCAGGTATTGAACATACTTTTTATTATCACACCCACATTTTTATATGAGAAATGTCTTTGTCATTAGTATGATGTAATATTCTAATCTTATGACTTTTCTGCTGTAAGCAGAAAATCATCACAATTAACAGAAATAAATTGCAGTTTATTGAATATCCTGTATGCATTCATGATAAATGGGAATAGTACAATAATTTCTACATTCTCTGTTGGCTTTGAAATATTTACCTCTACCAAAGAACCTTTTTTCTTTTTTATGTAGAATAATAGTCAGGAAAAACCTGTTGGAGTTAGTGAAAATCCTCAAAGAAACCTCAAAGAAATCCAAACCTCAATTTCAGCCTGATCAGTGTTTCTCGAATTAAAACAGTTACAGCTAAGAGAAAAGTCTGCAGTAAAAAAATATGTTTATTTTAAAGGGAAGTGAGGGTTATTGTAAGTGATTATATTACTACAGCAAACAGAAATCACAATGTAAGTGCTTCCAGACAAACGTATTTCAATGAATCTAGCTCAAACAAACATTAACAAACATTAGCAGCGAATGTCTGCGGCTCTCTAGCAGCAACGAAACAGAGGTCTATGTATAGATGGCTTTCTTTAGGAGGTAGCATGAAGTAATGACAGCAGTAAGTATCCAGTCATTCTCTCTAATGCAGCCAACACTGCTGAGAGCTGTTCACTGACCTGCCGTCTGTCTTCTGGCGCCTTCAGGAAAAGAGCGTTGATGAGAGCGATGGCGTAGGTCTGGATTTCCTGATTTGACCTGAGGAAATGTCCAGGATTGCAACAACCAGTTAGAAGCAGCATGCTCCACAAATATATAGGATCTTTGATTAGCAGCAATCAAAGTTTGTTATTATTCAGAGGAGCCATCTTGCTCTGGTGGCTCCTGGTCTGCAGCATTTCTGGGGTGGAGTTAATAGAGTCAGAGATTGATAACTCACAGCAGACCTGATTATACGTACAGATATATTCTGCTGCTGCTCAGAGCTAACATGCAATAAGATTATTTCAAGATTGTTTTTTTTTAAATAAGAACCACTGAGATCGGGACAAGAAGCCAGAAATTAGAAAGAAAAGAGTAAAAGTAGTTACTAGGGGTGTAACCTACAGCTATATAATGCATGTAACTGGACATAGAGCTGACTAGAGACGGTGAATTGGAATGAACCGGCTTGATTTAAAATGAATCCAGATCAAACTGGAGTCTGATTCTTCAGAACAGTCAATGGATTGTATCGATACATTGATAGAATACTTTCAATAGTTAATTGAACATACTGTTCTGGATAACAAATAGGATAAATTCAAATGTATATAAGAGCAATGATTCTTTTTTTGTAAAGTACCTTCAGACAACATTTGTTGTGAATTGGATCTATACATATAAACTGAATTGCTTTGAATAACTGGATATGAATTGGACCCATTTCTCATGTAAAGTGCCTTCATATAACATTTTTTTTATGTGATAAGTCTGTTTTTAAAAACAAAACAAGAACAAAATAAAGTGTTTCAATAATTTGGCCTTAAATAAAAAATAATAAATTGGCTAAAATAAACATTTGCATAGTCACTTGGTATAAAATTGCTTTAAAACGTTGTGGCGCTTGTGGGACACTGGTGGCATTTTCTTTAGATCTTGTGTGATAACAAACATCCACTCTACCAGGCATTGCTAAGCCCACATTACATGACAAATAATGGGTGAAAATGAGAAAGATACGATAACCCAGCTTCCCATACTTCTTTCTGTCAGCTGCTGTATGCACTGGAAACTCAAATACACTCTGCAAACAACCGACTGACAAAAGCATGTGAGTCTATGGCCTCCAGCAGGTCTTCATTACCATCATTCTTGCACTAGTTTAGTTTAAAGTGCTGTATACAGTAGCTTAATGTACTCATTCTCAGTTAAGGCACTTAAAAAAGCAATAAAAACAAATCTTCACTTTTAAATGAGAGGAGTGATCACCTGTGACTCATTCTGATTTCATCTCTCTGTGTACCTATGGGAGACGTCTCTGTACTGTTGTAGCTTAATGCAAATACATGAGCCGTTACACCCCCAGTTCTACCAAACTTAATAGTTTGTCTTTTCTCGTCTAAAAACTCCTTATCTTTGGTGTCACTCCTAATCATACTTTTACATCGGTTTTATTACACAACTCATGTTACAACATTTTCCCCTCGTCCCCCCCAGAAACAGAGTGCAGGAAGCCCCTGTGCATGTGTGTGTGCTCACACTTGCAAGTGCCCGATGAGCTGTCCCACGGTGATCTCCTGGGCCACGCGATGGTAGAGACTGTGGCTGTTCAGGACCATGCTCTCCAGGATGGCCAAGGAGCGCTGCAGGATGGACACATCCACCATGGGCTGGTTCACATAACCTGCAATCTGAGGAAATGCAGAAGCAAAGCATAAAAAGCTAATAACTGTAAACCAAGACAAATTCTAACATTTTTATAAAAGAAAACTTCATGAAGAAGTTTCTTTTAAGTGTCTCAAGGCTGCGGAGCGGTTCACTGAGGAAAGCTATTTACATACACACTGCAGCAGATTAAAATCCTGAATAACTAGGCAACATCACCCACACATTTCCGACACGTGAGTGAAACGGACGAAAGGGCAAACAATCACACAAAACAGCAGCAGGAAGAAAAAGAGAAATAAAGACAAACCTTGAAGTCACAAACAGTGAACATTTACACAGAGTTTTTGTAAAATTGCGGTGACCAACATAAAATGTTTGATCCACAGATGAAGCACCTGTTTGATGAAGGAGAGGGAGATCAGATCCCAGGATACAATGCCATGATCCATCAACTCCAGGAACGCAGTGAGAGTGAAGGCCAACATTTCCCCAAAACTTGGAGAGAAAACTCACAATTAGTCCAGAATTTTTCAGAAGGTGAGACTTATAAATGAAATATGCAAAAAATAAAACTTACTGCGTGCCACTCTCGACAAGTCGAGCCAGAGTGCCTATGCCTTCCATATTTATGAACTCGGCAGCAAAAGTCGGATCTGCAGACAACTTTGCGAGCTCCTTCAGAGCCTCGAGGCGAGCATCAATACCATGCGACTGGATCCTCTCCAAGAGTTGACGAGCAGCACGAGCCTGATAAAAGTCAAAACATTACCTTATCTCATTGCTTTACCAGAGACTTATCTATGGGACTTTATTTTATATAGTATGCTTCCATTTGTAGCAGAGGACAAAGACACCCCTGCCTGCAATGACTGCAGCACTAGCCACAATTATTGGCACCCCTGCTTAAGACATTATAAAAGCCTTAAAATAGCCAGTTGTTATGGAAACTCTGAGCCCAATATCCCAATGCGTTTTGTTGCAGTTCCCTGCAGTAAGCTTCAAAGATTTCTTTCTTACATTACCATCTTTCTATGATCGTTACCCAGCATTGTTATAAACTTTGTATATTATGTATTGCTCTGACTGGAGATACTGTTAAGTTCAGACAAGAAGCCATTTTCTGGAAGTCATTTTCTTACTGCATGAACCTTTTCCAGGAACTACAGTTCTGCGTCAAATATTTACTTCTTTTGGTACATTTTAGAGATTTCTGTTTCAGTTTTCTCTTATTCTTTACATTCTCTGCTTTATCTTTGTGCTTCATTATGTTCACTGTGTCCTCTCATGTTTAGCTGGTTTTCCTGATCGCAGTTTTTCCATTGTGCATTCAGTCTGTAGTTATCCGTCATGTTTTCCCTCCTGGTACATTTCCTTCCGGGTTGGCCCAAATCGCTCTGTGAATGTTCGCTGGATCCCAAAGTATAGCAGCGAACTTGACAAGCAAACTGATGTGGAAAAGGGAGCTAAAGCATCTAAAAATAAAAAGTAAGCTGGAATGCAATCCTCAGCACCTTTGTTAAGCTGGAGATAGAGGTATCGGCTTCACTCTCAGAGCACTTAGATGCAGAGCGGGATTAAAAAAGGCAGGCAATCACACATGATTACAGAGGAATGGTGACTAGAGCTTTGAAACACGACAGACATCCTCAACTCCTCTTAACCTTATGAAAGCAGAGTGTGCCCCTCGCGCCATGCTAACTTGGTAGAGCTATAATTTGCAGGACTTGCCAGAGATTGAAGATTTTTAAGTGCAGACCAAAGTAAAGTCTGGCAAAAATCTTGAAATGGCTACTGGTGAGCAAAAACTACATAGCACACTATTATCATCAATATGTTTCTAACAAATGAAAAACAAATTCCATGGTTGTGGAAAAAAAAAAACTTCTATTTTATTTAATTTTTGCCATTCGTAGATGTTTCTGATCTGATGTAAATACAAAATATAGTTTTCAAACCCTGACTTCATCAATTAAAGTAAAAAATATATATATACTATCCAAACTAAACTGGCTGTAATCAATCCCTGCGCTTCCATCCCATTTCCCTTGTTAAATCATTAATTAACTGTGATCACTTTTTTTTTCCTACAACACCCACACCCATCCTCATTACTGCTGAACCTGTAGAATAAAAAAATAAATCACTTAAACACAATTGGTCTGACATCATTAAGTAGGTCAAAATATCTCTAAGGAACCTCTTTTAAGGAAATTTAATTTATAGCACTGCTGGTGGAAACAAAGCGAACTTACTGGGGAAATTGCTAATCGAAGGATTGTCCCATTCTTAATGTCACCGCGGCTCTGAAAAATAAAGGGCAACTTAGGGTCAATATTGCTTCACTGTGACTTCAACACAATGTGATGGGAAATAAAACCAAAGAACTAAACCTGTTCAGTGATGTAAAGCTGAGGACCATCAGCATAACGGAGAGCGAACTGCTCAGAGCCCGACAAAGACCACCTGAGGGTGAAAATATAGAGAGATAAAGTTCAAATGCATTAATATTGATTTGAAGCAAGTAATTGCAAGTAGCAAAACGTGTGATTGTTAGAGAGCACAGCATACTCCAGAGTGCAAGAACAAAAGGTTGGCCAAGTCAGGCCATTCTCCCCGGCAAATGTATTTACACGAGAAGGGAGTTTTCAGTGGGAGTTTACAGTAAAAGTGCAAAGGATTTTCAGCTTCCAGTGACAGAGGGAGGCAGCGGGTACACGCAGGCATGTTCAGAGGTGGATTGGTAGGAACAATGTAAAATGTTTTGTACATTTTTACCACACTAGCAAAGTATGAAGAAAACAACCTTAAATGATAAATGAAAGCATATACATCTACTTTACAATAGGCTGATCTACAGTAAGGGATGTTTGAGTCTTAAAGGCATATAACCTAGATTTGATCAAATACAGAACAGAAAACCCACTCAAATATAAATCTGAATGTAAGCTGAGGTAGAGGTGCAACATCTGTGTTCTGCTGGGAGGGTATTCTTTAAACAGCAATGAAAAAAAGAAAAACTTTGTCTTTACATAAGAACACTCCACCAGTAAACCACATACCATACCTTACTAATTTGACATTTTACTCATGGTTTGTGTATTTTATTCATATTTTAAGTCAAAGTGAAAGGATTTTTACCACAGTTATCATTATGATAATGACAACATTGATAACCATCCTAAACTCAGCTCCATGCTGAACCAACATAAACCAGTGAATAATTAAAACCTTTGCAAAAAACAAAAACTATTTTGCAATTTTGACAATTTTTAGTAATTAAACTAAAAGATTTCTCCTTTTTAAATGATCTGGAAATAGTAAAATAAAAAACTCAGGGAGATGATTCTTACCCATCACATACTTCCCGTATTATAGAGGATAAGGGTCTCTTCTGTGAAAGCAAAAAACAATGAATGAATAAAACAGAACAATCCGTCTCAGTCATGGTAAATGATCTGATTCTCCAAAGTTACATAAATAGCAAAGCTTAACTAAAATGACTTTCCACATGCAGATTAAGGCAAAGAATTAACAGAGGCATTTAAAGTTTCTCTACTACATACCTGGTCCATCTCAATAAGCTGAGCATTGGCACCGGGCCACTCAATGGCAACCTTCACAATGTCAGCTGGGGGTGGCATACCTGTGTGTTGTGGTTATAGCCTACAGGAAAAAAGAAGAAACAATCCCTGTTGACCAGCATCAACAGGGATTTTAGGAGAATTAGCACCAGCTCATCAATGGCTTTGTAAACTGAAATATTTGGCTGTAGTCACAACACTAAACTGACAACACAGACCTTGATGCACTTTAATAAAGAAATCAGATAGCAGTGAGGAAGATGCCTTGATGCATGAACAAGCAATAATGTGGTAATTTCATTTTATTCTAACTTCAAAATTACAATCTTTATTAAATAACCTGCGTTTTATATTGTATGCATTCTATATTTTAGATTAAAATAAATCTGAATCACTCAAAATTGGATTGGCAGGTTGTACTAAAATAAACAATTGCTTATTGCTAATATAAGTTCCAAGTACTGTCTCAATTCTCAATCTCATTTTGTCTTAGTTTTAAATTCACAACTTTACGTGACTGATCTTTCAGACACAGAATGATGACGCATCTGCCCCTGATATACAAAATCAGGGGCAGAAGCCCCTGATTTTGAATATCAGGGGCAGATGAAAAAGGCTTTTTTCCAGCCTTTTTTTCAACAAGGCTGGAAAAAATATTTTTCATGTTATTACATCTTGTTATATAAGCGTTTTTTAAAAAAAATCAGAATCTGTGCATCTCTAATAGAGGCAAAGCATCTTTTCAGTGCTCCCATTTAATTACTGCTTAAATTTAACAAACCTACTTCCCAATTTCCAACAACAGTTTTGCAGAAGAGAACAACAGGGACCAGGTTTTTGGCACAAATAAGTGAGTTTGTTTTTTGGGGGGGTTTTCTGACAGAGAGAGGGAAAAAATTGAGAGAACACAAAATAAAAGATGACAGGCTCGGCTGATGATTTGAAAACTGTTTTCTGGAACAGAGAGAAGAAACTGCTGTTTCTGCAAATGGCTTCATGCATTCTGATTGGTTTCAGGATTAAATAAAAAACACTTTGTATGGCTCATTTGAAAAGATTTTTTTTATCACTGCTGGGTTGTTGAATTTAAAAAACATTAATTGCCTTCCCCAGAAAATTATCAATGATGCCGTATGAGTATGTTTGGGTATTTGTTCTATATATAACCTCACCTGCCAATTTATAGTGATTGAGCTGTCTGACAGGTTTGCCTTTTGATCCACTTTGAAATAAAGAAATAAAATGTCCTGAAGGTATTTTTGCTATTCTGTGAACCCAGCATCATTACCAGCTCCACATGATAAAAACATCCTGGAAAGTTGGAATAAAAATTCAAGCTGTCAAGTCTAGAATAACAAGCATGAGAGCTTTGATCTCCGTATCTCCGAGCCATGGGACTACTGAAGTGTGCTCTCTGTATTATCTGTCACAACAAAGCAGAACAGATGAACACTGGATGATATATACAACACGAGTGCTTTAAGTCATAGCAGAAAATGACACCAAAGAGAAACTTTCAATTCAGATTCCTACTTGAAACGATTTAATTTTCAACAGCAACGTCTTCTCATCTACTCTAGACACAAAAATGTCATCAGTGTCAAATATAAGAGTTAGTTGCAATTAAAAAGATAAACTGTTTCTCTAAATAACTTTTAATAGCTTTAAGGCTAAATATAATTTTTCAAGTGGATGTTGACATCTAGCTTGGAGGCCAAACAAAGCTGGGAAAATGAAAAACAACAAAAACTTTAATTTGCTAAGGCTAAAATTCAGGTTAGACCTTCCAGTTTTTGCTCTGGTTCAAATCAGCACTGTTATATCAGCTCTCCTATTTCTCCAAACAACTACAAAATGTTGTATTAGGTCGTGTAATGATTGGTTATGTCTCATTCTTCTCCATATCATTCTTAAGGTCAACTTCATAATAATTCCTAGTCCACTCTTCTATCCATTTCACTGCGAAGCCTGTGTGACATAACTCATCATCTACCCACTATTTTCCATTATGGGTTTCTGCGGATGTCCACATGCAACCCAAATGTTTGTGACCGGGTTGGCTACGGGTACAAACAGGAACAACAAATCCTGCTTGTTGTTCCAAGCTTATGGCAGATAAACTACAGATCAGACCATGAGCACAAGAAAAACAACAAATGTAGTGAGGAAAGACCTGCTGTTTTTCCTGTGTGAATAATTTATCACAGGCACAAGAAAGATACAACAACTCCATTAATATTCTGGTGAGAAATCACTTTATTCTTCCTTTCCTGATCTCTTCTTCGCCTACTCCTCTGAGAAGAAGGTTTAGAAAACAGTAGATTATCACCCCCATCAGAGACTGAATGTTTAGATGTGCAAAGATTGAAAGAGTGCACGTTTGTCTATAAAGTCCAAGCAGCCAGAAAATTGTGACACAGAGAGTTAAACTACAATGCAGTTAGTAGCCATCAAACAGCATTCCAAAGACAGTTTGTCAAGCCATTCAAAGTCTTTTAATGTATCTCGAGTTAGTTTTCTCATAAGTTAAAATACTAGCATGAGAGTCAAATGTTTTTCATTTGGCTCGGACAGAGATAACAAAAAATTATGTTGCTACAGCTAATTGTTGGAAATGTAAATTGTTTTCTTATCTGATAAACCTTATGCTCACAAACAATACCCAGTCACTTTGGTTGGTATGGCTGTCTAAGCTACTAAACTGTGTTGTGTCTTAATACCACAATTTTGAGTTGTTTCTTCCCTTAATCCTGAAGAGAAAATGTTTCCAATAGAGATTGTTTCTGGTGAAAGGGGGAAAATGTGTCCTCATTACGAATCCTAACTTCGTAGCCCAAGAGCTGACTCTATCCTTTTCAATTTTGCCTCTAAGAGCCAACAAGTCACTTATCTAGTCCTGATAAAAAGAGCTTCTAGACAAAAGGGAAATATATTTTCTGTCAATAGTCGTAGTGAGTGACAGGGTTCAAGAGAGTATGTAGGATTAAGAATACAAAGAGCCATCCTGTTTTAGTGAGAGTGACACTGAAGGCTTTCTTTGTTTCAGGGAGTGTTTATTATCAATTGACTTAAAGGCTAATCCCTGCTTACTATTATTAACAACATTGAAGTTAATTGCATTTAAAATATTAAATTATTAAATGCAATTAACTTAACAGATATCAACAAATTATCTGTCAATTGTTTCAAGGCTAAAGAAGTAAAATAAGGAGATATAAGTAATTTGGACAACCATAACAAGAAGCTGCTAATATTTTTGGTAAGTTCAGACCAAATCACAACATTAAATCATTAAATCAGCACTGGTCTGTTTTGAATAGTTCTGATTAATGTTTGTTGTCCTTCCTTGCAGCAATTCTGCAATATTGTGGATGACAGCATACTGCTTTCCTCAGTATTCTCCCCAGCTTGTCTTAAAAGTTTTTGTTAATCCTGCTGCCACATTGCTGCATTGTACACGCTGGTGCATAGAATTAAGTCGCATAAGAGCATAAAACTACACTTATCACTTCGAGCAGTTCTACACGCGAAGGTAGAGAAGGTCCATACTCACAAGAATGATATTACTTATAAATAGCAATATGGTATTACTATTAACAACCTGTAAATGGGTTAGAAATTCGCAGGAAAACAAACAGCTTTTCTCAATCCAGTGGTAGCTGCCCATTTTCATCCAAATCGATTAAAATTTAAATACATACAGGATTATTTATTTAATTTCAACAATTAAATGTAACAAATTGAGCATCATAGAAAAAAGAAATTAATGTATGTCTTTGACATACATTTAAATTGTGAAATATAATATTTTATTATATTTCTTAGTAGAACGTCAGTAATTTTTTATTTTCAAAAACATCAACCTTCTTTGTTGAAGGTAGTCTAAAAGTTTTATGTTTATGTCCTTTCAGTTTTCTTTAACTGATTTTCAGAGGAGATCCTATGAAGGCTGTGTAAACTTTAGGGAACAGTTAGGGAACGTTCCCGAAAAGTGATAGTAACCTGATTGGACATTTCTACTTCTTTCAGATTCATTTAATTGGCTACTTTTTCCAGTTTCAGAACTCTTTTAGAACTTTGCAATGTGTTGAAATTCAGTTATTACTGCAATATTAATGGGAGGACTTTTGCCATCACAGAGAGTCGGGATGTAATTCGACTCGGTGTGAACAGGCGGGAAGATACTTATTTACCGCACTGTACAATGAATACAGCTTTGTTATTTTTTACTGTACAGTAAGTCCGTCATGTGGGTTGTGGACAATAACTTCCCAAACCTCAAGATGATAACCCACAAACTAAGGTGATGAAACTTTTTTTTCCCCATTCCTCGTACCGTCACTAGATTCCGGGCGTCCGCCATGTTTGTTTTCTTTTCTCCAAACCGTTAATATTAATTTGGCTGCACGCGCTGTTGCGGTATCTTAGCAACAGTCGCCCGGAATCTCCAGACTGAAAGGAAATCTGAACAGTGCGGCCTCAACTCTAAAAGACTCGCTCTGTCCCCCGCCAGCTGCTTTTCACTGCGGCCCGGATGTTTCTGTCGCCATTTTAGCATTCCTTTAAAAAGAAATGTGCCGGGGTGGGGTGGGGGGGCAGCCTTCCCTGGAGGCGTCTGGATAGAAAGAGATTCTGACTGACGGGGGAAACTGTGGAGTGGGGCGACGAAACTTCCCATAAAAAGTTAAAGACGATGCAACGGCGCCCCCTCTGGCCATATGTTGTTTATGACGAGATCGGTGCTCTGGTAAGAGATACATTTATTTATTATTTTGTGTAATATCTAAACCTGAGAAGATGCATTGGAGACAGTTGTCCGCAGCTCAGCATCAGCTGATTTCACGTCCTAATCCTGACCAACTTTATCTGATGACGACAGTCCTCTTGAAAACCGCAAATAACGCCTCTTTGTTTGGAAATCTTACACCAGTGAAGTTATGGAAATGTTTGTGATCGATTACAGGTGATCGACCACCCTGGACTGGATCAATAGTCGCCACAAAGAGCGGCGCAGTGGAGCGGTCAATCACAACTCGCCTCGTCGCCCAGCATTCAGAAAGAGACACGGTCTCTCTTTGTGTGGAAGTGATGCTGTTGCTCGCTGTTAACAGTGAGCAGCAGCTTTATTCCTCAAAAGGCGGCTCGTGTTTCCACAGTCATCCATTTTAGCCTGTCCGCTCCTCCATTGCTGACAAGATGCAGCTTCGTCAAGGAGGCAGATGATGCCTTTCAGCTTCTCCTCCCTCCCCCCCTTCTTGAATTAATCCCACCGCACAAACGGGCTAATTTCATTCATCCGTGCTACTCACCCCGTGTCCGGGCCATCTATGGTCCACCCGGTAATCCCTCCGTCCCCAGTGAGAGACTCGTGGAAAGGAGACACGACTCCACGCCTTGTAGGCGGGACACGATCTAAATGTCACCGTCTGCAATTGAGGCAGACCCTTGTTCTTTTCAGCATGTGCGTGCGCTCACAGACATCTTCCTCTCGTACGGAGTCATGCACTTCTCTACTGATCACCCCGTCCGTCGCAATTAAAGGGGCATTTAAAGCGGGATTATTATTTATGGATGCATCATTACTGGTTAAATTGCTGGACCAAATGCAAAACAAAACTCAAAATGCCTTTTTAAAAGTTCTGCAAGGTGAAGCAAATGGGGTTCTCATTATTTTACAAATTCATATTTGAATAAGTAGTTGTCACCCGATTTAATCACATCTAATCCTGAGAGTCTGTATAAACCCAGTTGTTCTGTGAAGGAGGTGCTTGTTAGAAAACAATGAACAAACAGCGTCATGAAGGAGCATAATGGACAGGTTAGGGATAAATATGGTAGATCACACAATAATATCTCAAGTGTTAAATATCTCACAGAGCACCAACATTATTAATTTTTAATACAAATAATATAACTGCAAACAACCTAACAAGAGACGACTGTACCTAATCAGGCCAGCTAAGAAAGGAAAGCAAAGAGTCAACTGTACTCAGGAAAGCAATGTTATACACAGCACACAAATCTGGTCTTTATGGAAAAGTGACAATGGGAAAGTTGTTAAAAAACAAAAACATTCCTAATAAATCTTGTTAGAACTTTACCACAGGCCATGTAGGGGAAAAGAAGGCTGTTAAAAAAGGGAGTGGATGAGTTTTATCTCATCTTGAGTAGGAGACAGAACAACTTTTTTGGTCAGTAAGCAAAACGCTAAATTTGACATTGCACATCATCCTGAACACACCGGTCCTATTATGAAGGAAGGCAGTGACAGCATTTCACTGTGGGAATCTTTTTCTTCAGCAGGAACAGAAAAGCAGAGATTCAAACTTTCAGCAGGCCAAAAACATACAGTCTAAACTAGAATGGAACGACTTAGATCGATATTTTAAAGTTACTCATTACATAGGTTGTCATTGTCATCTAAGTTTTGGTATTTTTACAAAGAATGGGCAAAACATTCAGTCCATATAAACACAAAACTAGTCAACACATCACGCAAGACTTGCACTAAATGTGGCTCGAAAGGGCTGAATACGTGGACACCATGTTTCAGATGCATATGTATAAAAGAATCATGTGGTGCTTTAACATAAAAGGCTTTGCAAATTAAGAAAAAAATCTGGATTTTCATTGATAAAATTATCAATTTCAATGACACTCAACACAGAATCACTCACGATACGGTTTTATTTTACACTGAACCATGTGTACAGAAAAAAATTATCCACAGCCCTAACGTGATGGGTAACACAGGTTCACCTTATAGGAATGCTGCTGGTGAAACAAGCAGACAACTGTACTTTAATTCACTGAGGGAACAACGTCATGTATTCATAGCCACTTTAAATATCATGCATGACATCAAAAATAGTATTTTGACATGATTAGTTTCACAGCTAAACACACATACTCCATCTCAAATGTTGCACAGGCACAGATCAACTGATGCTCAGAGAAACTGTATAAATTAAATTACTGTAATGTGAAATATAATCAGTTGTTGATTTAAAAAAAGTCTTACCTTTTTACAAAATTAGTTAAATGCATTTGATTTGTTCAACACATTCTGTATTTTATGGGGGGAAAAAAGTGGGCTAAGTGAGACATTTGCTGGTTTACTGCTCTTGTGTCTTCTTAAAAAACAAATAGTGGTGAGATGTTTCAGCACAAAGTCTTCCCTTACAATCCTCAATGTTATACCACCTTTAGAAAGACAAAAAAAAAAGAGAAGTAACAGGGTCTTCACAATGTGCTAGTAATATAGCGGACAATGAGAGCAACATTTACTGAAAGGTACACCTCACTGCATCAGAGACACACAAGCAAACATCCATCGTTATCAACAGAAAGTTACGAAGGCTTTTTAAGGCTTTAACACATGACTGTACATAAACACGACCGCAGAGTTTCAGCAAGATGACTGTTACAGGAGAGGTTTCTTTTTTTTTAAACAGCGCAGCATTGACACTGAAAACACATCAACACTGGAGACTCGAGTTTGCTGTCAGTCACATTTTTAAACCCATACTCACAAAATAATAACGATAATCAGTTGAAATCAACCATCAAAACAAAACCGAGGGACTTGGAAAATAAGAATTATAAACTGTAAACAATGGACTTCTCGGAGGTAGGGAAGTGGGTTTGTATTGAAGCTTCTAAAAATATTTCTTCTATGATTAAAACAGATCTTTAAGCGTAATGAGACTGTATCCTAAGAGGTGTAACAACTCAGTGGCATTTTTTTGACTGATTAACACCAACAATAATAATACAAAGGCCAAGAGGCACAAAATCCATTACGATGTTTACCATGCATGATACAAATTAAAATTTTTATTGCACTAATAAAAAACTAATCAAGGTCCAATGTGGTTTGGTTGGACCATTCAGAAAATGAAAATCCACACAGGAAATTAGTTGTCCAATTAAATTTGCTACAGACACCCCGTTTCACAATGACATCATGCTTTTTTATTATAAGGTTAACTTTTCATAATGTACCTGCACCTATGATGATGACTGAGTACAAATGCCACCTAAACTCATCTAATTTGCAATTGAACTAATTCACAAGTGTTAAAGGCCAATCATAATCCAAGCAAACGGGACAGAGTGAATGTTAATAAGAGTAATACTCATTTAAATGCAACCATGAGATGAAATATACAAGTACCTCCTGAGATGATGTCACAAATGCTCACAGATTTGCTGCTTTAAAACTGCCCTCATGAAAATCTAGTCTGCACTCATTCCCTGGATCCAGTTTCTGAAACAACCTTCCTGCACACGTACAGTACTAGGAGTGCTTCCCTGCAACAAGACGTTTTCACTTAAAATGATTCATACAGAATACAATTTTCCCCTCAAAGGTCCATAATGTCTTCAAAACATAAAAGTAGAAATGATGATACAAGTTTGTTTAATTAAAGAACCCTGATTTGAGCGGTAAAGACGGAGTGATTTTGACACAGCATGTTCATTTTAAACAAATATTAAAATATGAAAAACTAAACATAAAATGCATAAAACCCCCAAAATAGATCTTAATAGCTTTACAATAATGGACAGTTCATCTGATGAATAAATCAGATCTTCTGTTTTACTGTTTTACAATTTCTTTAAAAATGAGAGAATAAATCAATAATTTATCCGGTGTCTATTGATGGTTTTATGACTCTAAGTGTCCAGGGTCACTCTGTGCTAAACTGGAGGATACACAAGACAGGTAAAAACATTTAATCCACTAAGAAACTATTTTCTCTTATATTGAGAAGAAATTAATTGAAATTGTACAGAAACATTTAGATGTTGTAGATTTTTGTTTCTGTATCTCAGCAAACAATTTTCACATGATCCTTTTGTCTCATTTTCTTGTCCTAATTACACAACAAAGGCATTCTGCAGCTCTCAAAGTTTTGAAGCAGTTTTGGCATCTTGACTCAAAATGACAAATAATAGATCCACATATTACAAGATTTTAATTTCTGATAGGTTAATCACCTATAGACACGCTCTTAAACTGTTTCATTGTGATTTATTTTAAATCTGTGACTGTAGGGCTAAATGGGCATCAGGTGCTCAAAAATAATAATTTGACTAAACAGAAAAATATTGTAATATTTACAGTGACTCATTTACGATACCAGATTTTTTTTCATGCGATAATTTCAGAGTTGAAAAGAAAAACAATATTGCCAAACCACTCATTGTTGGCACACCGCTTTATTTTACTTTACAACCAAAACATTTTGGTAATCCATACAGGAAGTCATGATTTTATCTACACTGACTAAAGGTGACTCTTTGAGATGGGGGCAGTTCCTAATAAAATATAGCTCTGGCAGTAAACAGTTCCTCTAGGTGTTGGTTTGATGAGCTCAAATCATCTCCGTGTTTCATTGATTAAATTCAATCCGAATGCATAAACAGGAATTAAGCTAATGCAACTCTCTTCCAGAAAGTGCAAATGAGATGAATAACAGGAAAGAAACTGGCAGAAGGTGAAAAGGGGAAAAAAAAAAAAAAAAAACTTTAGATGACGTAAGTTTGTGAGGCAATCACCAGCCTGCATTATCCCAGGCTTCATCAGCTGGCTTGGAGGGACTCTTCTTTGTCTTACCATCCGCATTCTCCCAGTTGTTGTCCCAGGCCTCCCAGCTCTCCTCTGTGCTGTGTTTGTTGTTGGAGGCTCCTTCAGAGCCCCAATTGTCCCAGCTGTCAGAGCTCTTCTTGGCAGAATTATCTGCCATGGTCCAGCTGTCACTGCTGGGAGATTTCTTCTCCTTTAAGGAGCTGTTGCTGCCAAAAGTTTCCCAGAAATCCCTTGCCACGGGTTGGCTGGAGCTGCCTTGATACCCCTCAGTAGCATCCATGTTCTGGTAGCTCTCTCCACCAGAGCTGAACACAGAGGAAAATTAACAATATTAACTGAAAAACCATACTATATTATTGGAATAAAGTAGTTTATGTGAGAGTTGTAAGTAACTTTTACAATATCAAATTTTGAACAGCAAATTTCTTCAGTGATGTACTTTAGAGTATTATTCTCCTTGTGAAGGTTACCAATGACAACTGGCATAGTTAGTAGATGCCACGACTATATCATTATAACATTTCTGTATTAAGTTTCCTTTATTGATCTTATTTGATGTTCTAATTTCTGGTCAGCTAATCTGCGAGCCATAATAATCGAAATGAACAGAAACATTTCAAATATATCCCTATAACTATTTAAGGTCAAACACGAGTTTCAATTATAACACAGAATTATTAAAATAAATGCACTTTCACTACGTTTTAATTTACTAAACTGCACCTTTAAAAGAAGGCAGATAAGATGTTTAATTACCCATCTTGCGGTTTTCCAGTAAACAGGTTTGTCAATTTTGCTCCAGCTCCCTGAACCTAAACAAATGCAAGAACAAATTTAAAACATGACCAAAAGATTTGTTAAACACAGTAAAATAGAATTTAAAAGAGACACCATAATTTACACAACACATTAAAGTTATTAAATGAATTCAAACATTGCCGTTATGGTTTAACTGTCCAAAAG